AATCCTACTGACATGATTATGGTATGGCATCATGGTTCCTACTCCTGAAACACTGGGAAGAGTCTATTTCTTGGTGTCCTGGTTGTTTTATTTACAGTACATTGTGACTGATTGGATTAAAGGTGTGTTACTGATTCATTCTTGGCCAAACCTGTCCTTTGAGTTGTGAACACCTAATGTATCCAAGCCTTCCTTCACAAAACAAGCCAGTCGTCAGATGGACAAACAATTTTAGATGGTCCATGTTTGGTCTTTAGAGAGCGTCTGCAAGCACGTCTTCTATCCGGAATCACTGATTGCTCACCCATCACCTCCTCCTCCTCCCCAGCAGCTGCTCTCTCTGACCCAGTCCTGGAGGATTTCAGCACCAACTGAAACATCGTTTTATCTCTTACCACAACAAGTTAAAACATCAATGGACCAGAGCTTAAAGCCTAATACCACTGTTCTCAAGCGTTTTTCCTCTGATAAACCACACCAGCATGCCAGAGCCCTGTATTCCCACACAGAGTCAAGTGGAGGAGGAGCATGTGTGCAGAGTGCAGGTGTGGGTGGTTTGTTGGGTAGAGAGGGGAGTGCAGCTGGTTGGGGTCACAGTGGCTCAGCGTGCTGAATGACTAATGAAAGGTTTATGGTGGCGCAGCACGACTGCCGAGTCTGAGTAGTGGGCTGGAGGAGGACACGCCTTGTCTGGCTTCTAGCACCCTCCTGGCCTGTCTATGGTTAAAACCAGGCATTTAACAAGTTCTCCCTGAACAGAGGGGCCACAATCCTTCACTTAACAAGCTCATTATTTCACATTGTTTTTGTCCTTTGCTCCTCCTCGGCGGCAGTGGCAGGGAAAAGGATGTTTGATGTGTGTCTCTGTTAGAGAGTTATACAAGGGTCTTTGAGAGGGAGGGATGATAATGGATGCACTAATGATGTGGCCCTTGCTTATATGGATCCTTGCAGTAATACAGGATTGTCTGCATGAATATTCAGAGGCTTTGTCCCTGAGAGAGAGGTGGATGCTCAAGGTTACTTTAGAGGGCAACAGAGGACAAGCCTCGAGATCCTATTCTGCTTTTAAGCCGGCTTCCGTCATCAACAAAATAACAGTGAAATATCTGAGAATCAAAGCAAAACTTATGAGACTCTTTCTTTTGATCTATGCTGTGAGCAGCGGAGTTTATATTTGTGTGAGTTTACCGGAAGCCTTTAGAGCTTCTAATAGAAGATAGTTTGACATTTAATGTCTGGGGATAAAAACAACTTCAGCTTTATTGTTTGACTGTTTCCCATTAAAGATGTCCCTATTGGTGCATTTATCTTGAATCTCTCCATTAGTGCTGCAAAGAATCCTTTTTGTGAATGCTACAGTATACGGTAAGAACAAACCTGTAAACAGTATAAACCTCTAATTCCTCTCAACTAACTTATACCTTAGAAGAAACATTCACTTTTACATTATTTACAAAATTATTTTTGGGAAAAAATGGGCTTCTTGTGTATCTATCTACATCTATATGTGGAATTACCTGGGTGAATTTTCTGCATCACACAGATGAAACCTCAGTGTTAACAATTTATCACTGTTACACCGCGCAGCAGTAAAAATCAATAGCATAGTTATACTGAGTGGAATTGACTGAGTGTGAAATTGCAATCAAACAGCAACTATTACCCTCAACCAAATAGATACTACAGAGATAAATGATGCTTACAAATCCCCCTGAAATTTAGTTTACATTGTTATATTACTTGTTTCAGTTATAGTCTATTATGGAAAAATGTTCCTCTCATGAAATGTAATTTTGGTTTTCTACTTCAGAGAGGATTGCATTTTCAGAGCCAAAATTCAAACTCTATTTGTAGACTTTAAAGCCTAGATTTATCTAATCAAATCAAGCCATGTCAGATTCATTTCTAAAGCAACTTTTACAAGACACCTTTGTCACAAAGTGCTGAACAGGACAACTGGGTGTATGTAACTGTACTGACTGTAATGTTCAGTTCAGTACCTTGGGATTGAATATAATTTAACCTTGGCTGAATTTAATGTCCTTTGAAGAATAAATTACAAAAACAATTCAAGGTCAAATATTCAAGAAACTAAATACATTTATTGCATCCAACATTTTCATTTTGAATTCAGCTGTTCAGCACACTTGCACAATACAGGGTTTAAAATTTTACTCTGCTTGAAGGTGCGACATAGAAAGCCAAAGTGTGACAGTATTGACTTCAACAGCTGTGACAAACTTGTAACAACGGCCAGACGAAGCACCTCTTAAAAGGAACCAATTAAACCTTTGGAGATTTCAATTACCACCTTGATGGGGCTTTCAAGATCGATAACTGAGCTTGTATTTTGACAAGATGGTCAGGGCTACAAGGGGCTTGTGCCGCTCCATCAGTTTAGAACAGCAGACACTGAAAGACCGTTGCTATTGTTGCGCTTGGATGTGTTTCCCAGACGATGGCATCTGTGTGTGTTGTGATAAATATTCATGCGTTTCACATGCGCCAATGTAAACTCATATCAAAGATGCACATCATACATGAGCTATCATTAGAGTTAGGAGTTCACATAGCACAGCAGCAACCAAACAAGATTAGAAAATGTCACACGCCACCTCCTTAGCCCACTTCCCTTCTTTTTCCTCCACCTCTTCCTCCAGTGTCTCGTTCAGAAGAATGAAGACGAGTAAAGATTCAACACACAGAGCCAGACAGCAACATCGAGCTCTCCAGCGCATACTAATCTAAAACAACATTGAATCTGAGCAGCGCATTTTATTCCCTCCCCACCGAGGCGTGTTTAAGTGTGAGATAGGGATCTGCAGATCTCATCACTTAGGGAAGGTTGTGGCCTGCATCTACAGCCCCCACCACCACCCCACCCTCGTGCAGGTTCCTATCACTTCCAGCCACAAATTGGAAGTGACAGGCCACTCAGGCAGAGGTGTCTTCGCTCCCACCATCAGCAGCCATGCAGCCCCACTCAGAGCTGTCAGCCTGATTATATATCAGCAGAATGGGGGGACCTAAGGAAAGGAGATGTCCAGCTGGAGACAGACCACTAAACACGTCGTCTGTCCTGCTGCCTCACATCTGCCAATACACATACCACCTGTCCCCAAGGCTGCCACAAAACCAATCTGTATGTCTCTATCACTCTTACGCTGTCCTCTAGAAGAAGAAATTCAACAAACTGCATCTTTCTCTTCGTCTGTCTTTCGTCTGGTCTACAAACTACATATTTTTAAAACTTCCAAGTTTTTTTTGCTGGTTTTTACTGGGTCTCTCAGTTCTCCTTCTATCTTTCTTTCCTTCTTTCCTTCTATCTTCCTTGATCTCCTTTTGCCTCACTTTCTTGCGTTGTTTTCTTCCCCTGTCTCATCCTATGCGCTTGCTACTGGGAGCACAACTCATTTACCAACTTTTCTTGCTTGTGGCAGCTCATTACACAGATAGAGCTACCTGTCTTCTCTCTGTGGACTAGTTGATCAGTGGTGATTTTCCCGGGGATCAAAAGCAGACGTGCTAAGTGATAGGAAGCGTAAAATTATTGGAGCCTCTGATGCATCGGGGGCTCCTAACTCTCTTCCATAAGGACAAAAATACATGTTGTTTACTTAAGTGCTGATTTTCTTGTCTCTTTTCTCTTCTCTCTCCCCAGGCGTGAAGCTTGGAAGCACTCCACGGCAGTCCAGAGAGGTACGTGTTTACTCCATTTCTCCCAAAACACAGATACACAGGTTGCTCCCAACTGCTATCTGTTGCAAAAAAGTGATTGTCAGCCTTGTACCTCTCAGCGTGTCTGATAGCATCTGTGTAGAGCGGCTGACCTCACACAGTGCATTCAGCCAGTCAGACTTAACTGAGTAAACAGTCCAGGTAGAACCAGGCCTAGGTTCCTCAGGGTGTGATCACACCTATTTTTTTTTGTTTGTTTGTTGTTTTTTCAACTTCCACAGTAGTTTATTAGAGACTTATGATTTTAATTAGTTTACATCCACTTTAGATAAATGGTGAGGCAGCATTTATGTGTGTTGTTTTTTTACCGAAGATTTGGGTAAAATGCATCCTAAATTGCCCCGAAAGGCATTATAAAAGATATAAAAGGATTTCAACCAGGCCTTTATCATACTATTAGCTACAAGGTTAAGATAGATAACGAAAGAGAAAAATCATGTTTGACCCCAAGACAATCAATAAATAGGTTTCTATGTCAGACATGCAGCCCTCGTACTACTGTATCTCCTCTCAGCTCACCCCTGCTTGCTCTCATCTCTGCTGTGATCGTCAGTGCCAATAAAAGACTTACATCAGTGAAAACCCCGAAGAATGTAATGTCTGGTGCATAGGTTACTGCCTGGTGCTCACCGTGCACATTGAACACACAGGGAGAAACCACTCCTTCCTTTTTACCCTCCAGATGTCCCTGCAGATGAACGAATATGACCATTTAAGTCAGAAGGGGGATGAGCCAAGATTCATGATGGTCTCATCACCTTGTCTGTTGTAAATTTAAAATTATACATCCAGTCCATTGGCTTTATGATGCCATTATAGCATTTAATTGAAATAAAATGTCAGAATGCATGATTGCCTTGGGCATCAAATGATGCTAATCAGGCAGTAGATGATTCTAATTTAGATTCCCCATTAAGTGTTTATAAGACATTTATATGATATTACCGCTCAGTTTATTGATAGGTCATGGATGGCATTGGGCAGTGTGACATTTGCGTGTAACAAAGTTAGACCTTTGTTTGAGGTGCAGTGAAACAGCACCATCAAGTGGCTGATTTGAGTACTGAAAGCAATATGTGGTTGTTTCTGATAATTAAGCTCAGATTTTACCACCAAGTATAAATTGTTCTATGCACATGTACCACATTATGTTGCAGTTTGTTTGGTCTAAACACATATCTGCTACCGTTTACTACAACCTGTGTTGTCATTTATTGTTTTATAGACTCTTTCTACGCAGGACAGCGAGAGAAGCAAATTAGACAATTATCAGGACCATCAAGCAGCAGAAGGCATCTTGTCCAGCCCGATCCCTCCAATGCAGTTCCCACACTTTGAGGAGAGCAGACAGAAGGCCACCACTGGGTCTCGGGAGCAGGACATAGGCTCCCTTCATGTCTCCAAAAGACAGCGCAAACTGCTGAAAACAAGTCCCCCAATCAGTCACACCAACAATAATGTTTCTGTGTCTTCTTCCTCTTCTTCCTCCTCATCCTCAGTCTCCTCCTCCTCTGCCTCTGTCTCTTTTTCCCCCGATATCCTACAAGCACGGCGGAAACTAATGAAGGATGTGTGTGCTAAGTACAAAAGCAGAATCTCCAAGACCATCACAGGCGATCATGTGAAACACCTGTATGTGGAGGACAAGCACAAGTTGTTGTACTGCCAGGTGCCCAAGGCCGGCTGTTCCAACTGGAAAAGGACCCTGATAGTGCTGGCAGGCAAGGCCCGCAATGCTCAGAGCCTTCAACACGACACAGTCCACTACGGCCAGAAACTCAGGACACTTAACACCTTTGACCGTCAGGGAATCATGCAACGCTTGGAGACCTACACCAAAATCGTTTTTGTGCGAGAGCCCTTGGAGAGAATCGTGTCAGCATACAGGGACAAGTTTGAAAATCCCAACAACTACTACCACAATCTGTTTGGGAAACCCATCATTTCCAAGTACAGGGTGAACCCATCCTGGGCAGCCCTGAAGACAGGCAACGGGGTCACATTCAAGGAGTTTGTTCGTTACCTGCTGGATGTCCACCGGCCAGTGGGAATGGACATCCACTGGGAGCAGATGAATCAGCTCTGCCATCCTTGTCTCATAGACTATGACTTCATTGGCAAGTTTGAGAACATGGAGGAAGAGTCCAACTTTCTTTTGCGATTGACTGGGGCGCCACCCAACATCACACTGCCCACTTTTAAAGATAGGAACCCAACCGACCTGAGGACTTCTCTGCAGATCACACAAAAATACTTTTCACAGGTCAGCCAGTCGGAGAAACAGCGAGTGTACGACTTCTACTACATGGACTATATGATGTTTAACTACTCCAAGCCTTTTAAAGATTTATATTGACTGACTCCTATCAAGACGCTTGAATCACAGTCACATTCCACTACGCCTACATCGCCACCATGATGAAATATTAACATGAAAAGGCTCATTCACATGCTCACATGAATCTTTGCATCTAAGCAGAGAGATCAGAGACCAAACTTCCTCTGAATTTCGCAAAAGCTGCTTTTTATGAATACATTTCTACCAGATTATCTTAATTTTTAGACAACTCTGAGATGAAAAGATTCATGTGATGTCATATTAAATGCTCAAAATAGTTCTGGAATCCACATGGTGAGGTAGAATATGAAAATTATAAATGTTATGCTTATAAAAAAGTTTATTATTGTTCAACAGGCTTTAAATTATGCCTCACTGTGAGTCAAATAGCATATGCAAATGCATCGTATTATGGTTTGATTCAACAAAGGCACCACATGGGTTGGATAAAGTTCCAATCACATTTCTAAATTCAGAAGTGATTTCAGAGACACAATAGAGTATCTTCGGTGAGCCCCTACCACCTACTTTTTAGAATAATCATACCAAAACTTTTATGAATTTGTTTATGTCCTTGGTTGACTGCAGATGGAGATCTAGTAATGATCACCACCGAGCACTGCAATTTGTTAACTTTTTATTTAAAATATTTGCATTTACTATTTGACTTACAGCAGGTTAGGCATCAGTATACCTCTATGTATCAATGCATACTAATACAGTATTTCATGTAAATGGTTTTACTAAACATAAACCTTAACAAAATGAAACACTTTAAGTAGTATAAATCTTTAAAATGTGTCAAGTGCTGCCCACTCAGAAGCTGTGTGCACTTACTGTAGCATTTTTGTACTTCTAACTTTGTTGGTTAGGTCTGTGCTTTAGTCTAATACATACATGTGCTGTCGGTCCCCCTTCACTAGAGGTATTTACTTGGGTGGCTGTGGTTGAATGCAGGACATCTAGGTACTTGCAGGGTAATGGTGTTGTTGCCAGTATCTCTTAATTCCTGTTAGTGTTACAGACTTACAAACTAATCAGTCAGTTTCTAGAGTCTGATGACAGTGTTGGCAACCAGGTGGATAAAATTAACATTGCAAAAAACTAAACATATGTTTAGAGTTGGTTTTGTGACAGTCCAACCATGTATGATTTGGACACTTGGACTGAATGAGAAAAAGAAAAGTGCACCCCCAAACTTCTCCATCTATCACACCAAACACCCCCTCAACAGCTATCACTTACAAATCTCACACTGTCAGCAGCTCCGTACCCACTGTATGTATCACATCTATTCTCCACCATCTTATAGGCTTTTTACTGACTCTACTGTGTACAATTGTATAATGGGCATTCAGATGACTATATATTTTTCTATGTATTTCTAAAATATATATATTCAGTGCTTCTTGGTGAAGGTATGTTGATGTCATTGATTGTTCTTTCAGTAATACCAGTGTAGAGTGTGTTGTGTAACAGAAGAGTTTCTTTCCAAAAGAAAATATCCACCAGCTGAAAATCACAATTCTAATTCTCAAGAGACGAAATGACTGCAAAAATCTGCAGCGCCATAGATGACTCAGTTTGACTGATGAATTGATACCACTCTGTGCTTTGCAGGTACTGAGCGATTTTTTAAATGAAAATGGATATATAACATTTTGGAAATTAGCTCTTTAATTACTTATCCCTAATCTGTTTGGTCTCTCAATAGGATAATAGACCCTGTACAGATGAGCTGCATTATCCACCTAGTTACCCATCCTGACTAATGACATTTTTACCAACAGAACTCCACTGTGTGTGTGTGCGTGTGTGTGTGTGTGTGTGGGTGTGTGTGGGTGTGTGTGTGTGTGTGTCCGAG